CATCTCTGCTTTTTGCGGATGATGTGGTCCTTTTGGCTTCATCAGATCGTGATCTGCAGCTCTCGCTGGAGCGGTTCGCAGCCTAGTGTGAAGCGACCGGGATGAGGATCAGTGCCTCCAAATCCGAGGCCATGAGCGGGAATAGGGTAGAGTGCCTTTTCCGGGTCAGGGAGGGTGACCCTCCTGGGGACTCCCTTGTTCTGCTGGGGGAGAACTTAAACTCTGACCAGGCTGGTCAGAGTTTAAATATCTGGGGTTCTTGTTCACGAATGAGGGAAGAAGGGAGCGGGAGATCGACAGGTGAATGGGTGCAGCGTCTGCCGTGAAGCGGGCGCAGTACTGGTCTGTCGTGGTGAAGAGCGAGCTAAGTCAAACAGCGAAGCTCTGGATACCGGTCGATCTATGTTCCCACCCTCATCTATGGTCATGAACTTTGGGTCATGACGGAAAGAACGAGGTCCCGGATACAAGCGGCCGAAATGGGTTTCCTCCGCAGGGTGGCTGGGCTCTCCCTTAGAGATAGGGTGAGAAGCTCGGTCATCCGGGAGGGACTCAGAGTAGAGCTGCTGCTCTCCTCCACGTCGAGAGGAGCCAGTTGAGGTGGCTCGGGCATCTGGTAAGGATGCCTCCTGGACGCCTCCCTGGTGAGGTGTTCCGGGCACGTCCCACCGGGAGGAGGCCCCGAGGAAGACCCAGGACACGCTGGAGGGACTATGTCTCTTGGCTGGCCTGGGAACACCTTGGGATTCCCCCAGAGGAGCTGGAAGAAGTGGCTGGGGAGAGGGAAGTCTGGGCCTCCCTTCTTAAACTGCTGCCCCCGCGATCCGACCCCAGATGAAGCGGAAGAAAATGGATGGACACTGAATTTAATTTCCTCTGGATTTATTCGTCTGTTTGCTCTATTGCAGGTTGTAGGAAAGTGCCTTGCTGATGGTGCAGATGAATACCTGCAGATGCTGAGTTTGTGTTCGGTGATCATGCAGCAGGCTGGTCAGAGCTAAAACTCCGCTGAACAACTTCTCCATACAGAAGGAAAAGTGTCACCTTGTTCCAAGGACCAACAGCTGAAGTTCCCTGGTTCTGAGTCACAGTGTTTCACATGTTGGTCCAGATTTACCAGACTATGGTGGTTAATGTTAACTGTTTCTCTTTTCTTAAGGATGTTCAGTTCAGACAACATATTGTCATATTTTTGGAATTTAATAAATTTTTTTTTTTAATGTTATGTCTGCACTTTCATTACATTTTCCCTTTACTAATTCGCTGCTAAAGTAAAGGAGTATTCCACAGTTTTGAGTAGGGACTGCATTTAATCATCCTTAGTTCAAACTAAGCTTAAGTCTAGAAGCCTAGACTGAAATGAAATAATAACAATAATAATAATAATTTTAAAAACGCACACGAAGAAAATTTTTTTTTTTTTTTTTTGCTGTTTTTTACATTGGGATCACCTCAGATTGAGATACTTGTTAAAAGCACCATATATAGACTAGTAATATATCTACTGAATCATTCATCACTGATCAGATTCTTTCAGGAATAGTTTGAAAAACTTTGTGAAACAGAAACATGGATTCTCAGTTTTGCACAGTGGTAGCACTGTGTTGCTACTAATTGTATTAACAGTATTGCAAGGCTACTGTTGCTACAAGTTGTGTAACCTACAGAACTTGACTGAGGGACCATTTAAAGACCTTTGAAGGTATTTTGAATTAATTAGTTGATTAGTGTGGCACCAAGTGCTTTCAAAATATTCAAATTTTCTGAGATTGAATTTGGGCTTTTCATTAGTTGTCAGTAATAACATTAAACAAAATAAACAATTGAAATATATCAGTCTATGTGTAATGAACAAATATAATATACCAGTTTAACTTTTTAATGGAAATACTGATTTTAATCAATTTTGTCATAATCTAATTTTATGGCCAGCATCTTCAATATGTCCATTCTAATTCTGGGCTGCATTTGATACAGCTGATCATACCATAATTGTTTATAGACTGGAAAAGTTAATGGGACTGTCTGATTTTGTGTAAAACTGGTTCACATCTGAGTGGGCAAAGAGGAACTACATAGTTTATTTTGGTAATTATAAATTTGGGGATTGTCAAGGGTTTATTCTCAGAACACTTATTCAACATGTATTATATGTTCTGGATCCCTATCTCAGATTAAAAAGAACATCTACCATGGAAGATGTGGCTGACACACAACTTTATACTCTGTGTCGTGACACCTACTGGCCATAAGTCTTTTTTCTGACCATCAATTGTTCAGTTTATTTTTTGTGAGGATGATGGAGAAAATACCAGAGAATTTGAGTGTTTTCTCAGTTCATACCTGGGCTCTCAGCAGGCACAGAACATCTGGAAAGTATCTACAGCACCTCACTTTTTCCATATTTTGTTATGTTACATCCTAATTCCGGACTGAAATTTCCCAATCCCATGTCGACCCCACCGAGACCACGGGATGTAGAGTTCCATTTACTGCAATTCACTTTACGACCACTAGAGGCAGACAAAGTCCTTCAGATCGGCTTTTGGACGCTATTGCCACAAACATGACAGGCGTTGGTTTCTGCCCAAGACTGCAGTATCTCCAGTCTTCTTTCTCATAAAGGAAGACTTTTGAAAATGTATGCCTATTTAAAAGTTATATTCAAGTTTAATATTCACAAGCTCAGCAGATGGAAATATTAGACCAAAGATTGTGCTTAAACAAGATATCTCACTTTCACATGAAATGTAGATGTAAAACTATCTCATGGTTAAGCAAATGTAACTGAGTAAATGTAGCTAATTACTAGTTGACAACTGATTCAGAATGGACTAATTGTAAATTATAGGTAATCACTTACCTGAAAAGACACCAGGTGGCCATTTACTTTAACCAGTATGAGCAGGTTGGTCTTGAGGGCAAAGAGCAGAGGAAATTTCACCTGAGCTACAGTCCATGGGGCTGGCTAGGATGGAAAACAGTAGGACCATCTCTGTGGGCTTCTGGCCATATTTGCATCATGGTATGAAAATATCTGGTCTTATATTGGTGTCAGAATCAAACCAAACAAGGTTTCCAATTATGGTTTTAAATGTGTCTTATTTTATATATTTTAATAACTAGTTAGAAATAATCCAGTGGCTTACTAATTCTAATTAACTCATTTCACATTTCTTTTGGTATTATAGGTAGTAAACACAGCTTTTACAAGTGGTCAGGGATAAGGTGGGCAGAAGAACAGAACAATTGTGAATTGTTTCACTTTTCAATTCACTTAATTGAAAAGTGAAACAATTTTCAATTAAACAATTGAAATTGTTTTGAATTAGTTGTGAAACAATTAACAACTAATTCTTAGCTTCAAATGAATCTTCACTAGATCCTTCATTTTTACCTTTGGTTTTTAGCTCAACAGAAATGAATCAATGATTTTGAAATTCTCTACATATGTATTGGAAGAACTGCCCTCGGCTCTGCACCACCCTAACCGTATCTCATGCTGTGTAATTTGTTTAGAAATTCAAAGCATTATATCCTCCAGTGATTCCAAGCTTATCAGTCAGTGTCAGACAGTGTGCACTTTAATAGATTACAGCCAGCGCACAGCAGCACTGTGGTTGCACAACTTATGTAAACACCTCATTATCTTACATACAAGGAAGCAGAATAAACATCAAACATGTCCCATAAATTACTGTGTATTTGTATGCCATACAGTATTATTGGTATGTCTTCAACAATGGGTGTTTGCTCTGTGATTTTGATGCAAATCATACACCACCAAAAGTCAACATGTTAACCATATTCAAAGCTATGAATTTTTACAAAGAACTGGTAGTTCTGATGAAAGCAAAGCAGATCTAGGAGCATCAATAGGAAAGATTTATTCCTTCTGAGGATATTGTCAGAAATCTGCTACAAATGTCTTAAATGCAACCAGGACTGGTTTGCTTGAAGGACAAGAGGAGTTTTACAGTACTTCTACTTACAGACCCTTCTGCCATACTGTATCTCTTAAAGCTTATTAAGAGACACCCAAAAGATTTGTCAAAAGTTGTCCTGCACATTTAATGCAGGCTATGAATTTGTATCAGCTTCCTCTTCTTGTACAGAACATTCACAAGTATTTATTAAGATGGCAGTTATGCCACAATGCATGATCAAGTAAATATTTTCTTAAAGTTGAGATTTGATTAATGATTTAATGAATGGTCATTCATTCATTCATTTTTTTCAATGTTTACAATAATATCATATGTTTGGGAATATGACAGATTTTAACAGATTTTTTAAAATGGAAAATGATGGATCGTTGGGGGCCGGTGGGCAGAATATTTCGAAGACCTCCTCAATCCCACCAACATGCCTTCCATTGAGGAAGCTGAGCCTGGGGACTCTGGGTTGGGTTTTCCAATCTCTGGGGATGAGGTCACTGAGGTGATTAAAAAGCTCCTTAGTGGCAGGGCCCCGGGGGTGGATGAGATCCGCCTGGAGTTTCTTAAGGCTCTGAATGGTGTAGGGTTGTGTTGGCTCACGCGACTCTGCAGTATCGCATGGACATCGGGGGCAGTTCCTCTGGATTGGCAGACTGGGGTGGTGGTCCCCCTGTTCAAACAAGGGGACCGGAGAGTGTGCTCCAAGTACAGGGGGATCACACTCTTAAGCCTCCCTGGTAAGGTCTATTCAGGGGTCCTGGAGAGGAGGGTCCATCAGATAGTTGAACCTCGGATTCAGGAAGAGCAGTATGGTTTTCGTCCTGGTCGTGGAACACTGGACTAGCTCTACACCCTCAGCAGGGTCCTGGAGGGTGCATGGGAGTTCGCCCAACCGGTCTACATGTGTTTTGTGGACTTGAAGAAGGCATTCGACCGTGTGCCTCGGGGAGCCCTGCCTCCTGGAGACTCTGGGTCGGGTTCACCCAGCGTGTCCTGGGTCTTCCCCGGGGCCTTCTAGGCCGCGGGGGCCTAGACCCAGGCACGCTGGAGGGACTATGTTTCTCGGCTGGCCTGGGAACGCCTTGGGATTCCCCTGGAGGAGCTGGAAGAAGTAGCTGGGGATATTGTAGACAACTTCTGTCATTTTGTAAAGGAAATATTAAAATACAGCAAATTACAGCTGTAATCTATTCTGTATGCCCTCAGTGTCATCATACTTATGTTGAGCATCAAATGCTTTAAACATGGTTTGGTTAAAAGATCCAACACTAACACATACTGAATTGTCTTCTCTGTTAAATACTCCCATGAATGAAGCACTTTACAGTCATTTGGTCAAATTTGCATGTTTCAAAACAGGCAGGTTTTTTTATTGACTAACTTCTCAGAGGAGCCCTGAGAAAAGTCTGGTGATGAACAGTGTGGTCATGAAGTGTCTGTCAACTAAGATCATTGTAACTCACCTGCACTGACAAGCCACTGACATGCCCTGCAGCATTCTGCATCTTCAAACGCATACTACTTTTAAAGTAAAGTTCCAAGGAACTTGAATATTGACGGTGTAATTTGCAACACCTCTTCAGTCTTCATTTGCAGGGGATGAGATGTAAAGTTCATACCTAAATCTCAATAATATTTAAAATGAATAAAGACCAAACAGAGGAGAGGGTTCTTTTGGTTTCCTTTGTTTCTCTCAGCCGTATTTTTGTCACATCCCCGACATGACCAAACATATTCTGTTACGGAAGGACTGCAAATCCCAATTTACATTCTGGGTTCTTGACAAATAAAAAGGAGGGCAAAAAATCTAGTTAGATAGAAAGCAACTGACATTTTCTGTTTGATGCCAAGATAAAACACCTTGCTTACACAGGAAGCACGTCCAACACAAAGCATCACATGAAAAATTCAATCAATTTTGGTAAATTCAAGCTGGTGATGTCCTAGTCCGGGTTAGACAACAACTCAACTGGACAAGAACCGGATGGAAATAAAATGTGGGTCACCAATAGAGCCCGAAGGGACAAAGGCAGCTAACGTGTTGCTAGCTGGTAGTTAGTTTGCTTCAAAATGCTAATTATCTTTGTTTAATTGTAAACAATGCAGTACACATATAAACAAACTTACGTTGGTTTCAGAAATAGTTATATCAATTTTATTGTGACTTTTATGATTATTGCTATAACAATCACTAAGCTTCAAGTTATAACTGCATGGAGGCTCTGTTAGTTGTGACTTAATATAGTTTTCTTCATAAACTTAACCTGGTTTTAATTAAGCTCAGTATGACAAAGAGACTTTGATATTGTGAGGCTGTTGTTTTAACTTGTTCATCATTGTTTTTATCTTCAACATATTTTTGCAGTCTAAACATTTGAAGATGAAAGAGGAAGCCAGAGATCAGGAATTAAAAAAACCTAAAGACTTTCCTGTGTCAGAAGAGGCTGTGGCTCCACCGGATCACCAACCAGTTCTGAGGATGAACCTCCACATCGTCTTCATAGTGGAAGGCTTTTTTTAAAAAAGGCTTTTGAAAATAATAGAGATGGGTACCACCTGCCCCCCTCACCACCCTGCAAGGATCAGCGTGTTCAGATCATGGATGGAAAGATTTTAAGGTAGTTTGTCTCCCTTAAGTCCATACTTAAAACAGCTTCATAGTTAATGCTAATATCAACTGATTCTATGATATTGCTGACTATTGTGGAAATTTTCCTTAACAAAGAGTGAGGAAAAACTCAAGGAACCAGAGAAAGAATATATTCTTAATCACTATTTATTCGAAGGCTTTGCAGCGTTTGAAGTCTCTGCTCACTGAACACAGCCAGGAGAAAGAGCCTGGAGCAGAATACAGCTTACAGTTTTATAAGGAGGGTTTCATTCCATTCACATAGTTTCATAATCTACTTGGTTACAGAACAGATAGCAAGCACATGTATCTTCTTTATCTTCTTCAAACACAACATAGAACAAACAATTTAATAACTTTATTGTAATACCAAGGCCCAAGAAGTAGCTTCAGAAGACATTCTCATGAACATGTGCATTACACAAGAATCATTATACTGTTATGCATTGTTTTACTTATAATTATGTAGTAATCTTAAAATTTTCCACTACATTATTTTTTCTACTTCTAACATAAACAGGCAAAGATGTCACCCAGAAATGTTTTTCCACTCCAGGCCTCCAGTCCGTCCATCATCAGTTCTTAAAATTGTAAGCCTTATTTTCGTTGCCATTTTTCTGTACTCTTTAAAATACAAATGCTTTCTATATTTAATTGCTCTATTGTTATTTTTTGTAGGTTTCTGTAAAGTGCAGTGGTCCAGTGAACAGGAATGTTATGTCGTTGATCCTCGCTGTTCGTAGGAAGGAGAAATGTTAGTTTGTCTGCAGTAATACTGGAATACTGACATTGTTTGTCTGAATGAAAAAAATAAAATAATAAAATAAACATGAATGCTGTATGCGCTGGGTTTTTACCTTAGAATGGCCAACTTTCTGTTATTCCTATGACAATTTGATACAGTAGGGGCTACATTTCCCACATCTGTGTCCTCTGTCCTTTTATCAGCAGTTTAAACCATAGACATAATATAAGGATAGACGCCTCATGGATCGCTCACGCCTATTGTCACTGACGAGATTTAGGGCAGCCATCTTGGAGCGGTACACCACTCCACTCAGCGTTATGTGTTTAGCAGGCACAATGACGTATCAGCGCATTCAATCGATCATAACACAGTTTTTTGTTACTGGACACCATATTCAAAC